TTTTGTTCAATTGAAAATGAATGGTGAAATATAAAAAGCGATATGGTATATAATGTATGACGCACGTTTTAGTTGGTAGATACTATAGAAGTGGTATTGTATCGGGCTAAATTGCAAGGCATGTCGAGCTTAGGAAGTGTTTTTAATATTTATGTTTGTTTAATTGTGTGTTGTGTGTAATATGTTTGTTTTGATTTAATAGTCATAGTACTTTATAGTTTGCTTGGGGTTTTTTGTATCTTTTTATGTTTCATGTTTTGTCTTGTTTTTGTTTCCTTGTTTTTATGTATTTTTGTGCACTGCTTTTTAATCAATAAAATATAAAAAACAAGCAAACAAAAAATCAACAACAATGATACACGTGTAGAATGCTTGAAACCAAAAGCCACAAGAGTTTCACATTTTCCACTTATTGAGAGACAATCCAACAAGGCAATGGATCTTTTATATGCTGATCTTTCTGGACCAATTAATCAAAAGTCAGCAGGAGGCAACTCTTACTTTATGACTTATTGATGATTTGAGCAGGTATGCATACACTTATCTTCTCAGAGAGAACAGTCAAGCTTTTCAAAAATTCAAAGAGTAACTGAGTCTCTAACAAATTTGGCTATAAACTGAAGAGCCTGCGCACAGACATTGAGCATCAGACTACACAGGCTTATTCTCCGGAACAAAATGGTGTGGCAGAGAGAATGAATAGAACTCTCAAGGAGATGGCAGTCACCATGTTTTTGGAAGCCAATATGCCTAAACGCTATTGGTCTGAAGCCATCATGACTGCTACATACCTGTGTAACCAATTGCCAACTAAATCTAAAGATGTAATCCCATTCCAGTTATGGCATGGAGTTAAGCCAAAATTAAACCATCTGAAAGTTTTTGGAAGCAAAGCATTTACCTATATTCCCAGGCAGAAAAAAAATGTAAACTTGACTGCAGAAGTGAAGAGGGAATTTTTGTTGGTTATGCTAGAAATGGTTATAGAATTCTAAATCCAGATTGATGCATAAAAAAATTAACAAGTGCTGCTTATATTGATGAAAGACCACAGCGCAAATCAAATCAAAACCAAGATGTTTATCAAGATTTATTTGCAAAAGAAGAAGACTCCCACCAGTGACCAGAACATGTGGAGTTCTTTCATCCTCCAGAGGTCTTGCATCCAGAAGGGGCTACACTTGCAATGGACCAACTTAATGATGAGGATCTGGACAGCATGCAGGAAGCAAAGCCAGGTATCCATATCCAGATGAGAAGGTCAGAACACTTCAGTAAAGGTATGCCATCTGACAGATTCTCTTATCAACCTACAAAGTAATTAATTCCAAAACCCTTTGATTGGAAGAAGATCAAGGGACTGCCAAAGACAGATTCTGAGAAGTGGGTGCAAGCTATTAGTGAGGAAATGCAATCTTTATATAAAAACAAGACATGGACTTTGTCAAAATTGCCAGAAGGAAAAAGGTCAGTTGGCTGTAGATGGGTCTTTACCACAAAGCTAGATGCAGAAGGGAAGATTCAAAGCAAGACTTGTTGCTAAAGGTTATACTCAACAGTATGGTGAGGACTACAACGAAATGTTTGATGGAGTAGTCACTCATACACCAATCAGAATTCTCCTAGCTGTAGCAGCTTATAAGAAAATGAATGTTCAACATGTGGATGTTCGCACAGCTTTTCTATATGGTGATCCTGCTGAACAACTTTATATGTTGTTGTTGTTGTTGTTATTATTATTATTATTATTATTATTATTATTATTATTATTATTAAAGTTTAGTTCTAGAGTGCTGTCAGTGTACATAGCGCTGTACAAAAGATAATCAAGGATATGGAACGATCTCCAGGATTCCATATATCTGGTAAGGAACATATTGTATGCAAATTACAAAAGAGCATTTACAGTTTAAAACAGGCTGCCAGAGCATGGAGTGAAAAACTGAACCATCTTCTTATCAAAGAGGGGTTTACTCCAGGTACTGTTGATAAATGTGTATACAAGAGATTGAAAATAACAAATGAACTTAGAGCACAAGTTATGTGGATGATCTGATCCTGTGCAGTGAGTTCAAAGCAGACAGATAGTGAAGAGATAATCCAGAATCTCAAGAAAGAGATTGATATCAAAAATTTGGGAGATATCTCACACTATATTGGAGTGCAAACACATAGAGGCAGTGATGCAAGTTTCTTCCTGTATCAGTAGCAGAAGATAATGGATCTTCTGGACTGACTTGGTCTGAAAGACACAAATCCTATGCCAACTCCAATGGAAGTAGGATTCTTAAAGGAGATTAAGATATCCGAACCTTTGCAAAATGGAGGCAAGTATAGGTCTGCTGTTGGAAAACTCCTATACATAGCCAACTTTACCAGACCTGACATAGCAAATGCTATTGGTATCTTATGCAGAATGGTTAATTGAAAGAGATTTTATTGCAGTGAAAAGAGTTGCTAGATACCTAAAAGGAACAGCAGATTACAAACTGATGCTGCCAGCCTGTAAACAAGCACAGATGCACTTATGCAGATCTGGGCTGCAGATCTGGCAGACAGAAAGTCATCCACCAGAAACCAGGTTTTCTATGGTGGAGGTGCTGTAAGTTGGACAAATAAGAAGCAATTAACGATTACTGATTTTTCCACTCGAGCTGAGTGTTTCAGCAAAAGCAGCATGTGATGAAATCAAATGGCTGCACAACTTACTCATGGACTTTGGATTTACAGAACCCAAACCAACCACTTTGATGCAAGATAATCAGAGCTGCATCAAGATCTTTCAGAGTGAAAAGTGACTCATGTAGAACATTGATATTGCATTTCACAAAGTGAAAGAAATGTGTCAGAATTGACTTGTCCAACTGGAATACTGCAACATTGAAATTATGATTGCAGACATCCTCACTAAACCTCTGCCCAAAGATCAATTCCAGAGAGTACATGGGTGAAAATCCTTGATGTTGGTCCAGCAGAATGAGAATGTGGATTGTTGGAAATGTTATGTATTACATTCTCCTTTCACTCCTTAGATAGACAGACACTTCCTTCTATCTATGGGGCTCTACAGACGGTGCAAAGTGCCATCTTGGAGTCAGGGAAGGGGAGGAGTAGCCGGCCACCGGTCACCGGCCACCCCAAGCCCTTCCCAAGGACATAATCAGAGCATGTGCCATTCTACATGGCGAGCCTCTGATGATGTCCTGGAGTAGCATTTTTACATGCTGTGCCGGAAGAGGCGCAAAAGAGTTACTTGGGAAAGGAGCGCTATTTTGGCACTCCTTTCCCAGTTGACAAAAGGGTGGATTGGGGCCAAGGCATGGGGCAGCCTTGGCCCCAATCCTCCGCTTCTCAGGGCGGCCCACGGCTGCCTGTCTGCATCCCCCCTATGTCATTCTGTCTAAACATGTGACTCCTGTCACTCACACTTGGAGACTTTCTCTCAGGATTCTAAGCTGTCTCCTCTCAATCTAAGATGGAGCAACAGCCTCCTCTGAGTGAGGAGTAACAGTCTTTTCGTGTTATACCCAAACCATCATCAAATTTAGTTTGTTATGTATTTATTTATTAAAGTCATTATTATTTGTCTTTAAACTACAGACTGCATGTTTGCTGTCTTTTGAAATCTTTATTTTTTAGGAAGGCAGATTTAGAATAAATAGTCTGACTATACTTTTGCTGTTTCTGCTGATGAAAGCTGAACTCTTAACAAGTTTAACTTTCATACTTGCATATTTTTGTCTCCCTTTAAAAGGGTTAACACCCTGGGAAACTCAAATTGCACCCCACAGTGAGCCATCTTCTTTTGTTCAGACTGAACATGCTCTCTACTAGAGAAGTCTTATTCTGTGTAAATAGGCTGTTCCACTTATATTCTAGTGCAGTCATTTATATTTGTAAAAAATTTAGGTAACATGCTTACTTTTATTGTTGTGTGATAGGCTATACTCTTGGAATTATAACAAATGTTCTAACTGCTTGTAGAAGAACTTTGAATTCTCAAAGTAAAGGACAGAGTGATCTATCTATCTATCTATCTATCTATCTATCTATCTATCTATCTATCTATCTATCTATCTATCTCAGCAAGAGATGAATTAAATTGGGAAAATAACCATTACTGAATACTTCATGTATCTGATGCACTTGTATATTTTGTTTATGTAAGTAGAACTTGGACTTTCAATACTCAAATAATAATAATAATAATAATAATAATAATAATAATAATAATAATAATTTTTATTTGATATCCCGCCCCTCTGAGGTCAGTCGGGGCGGCTTACATCATAAAATCATCATACAACAATTAAGAACACTTACCCCCCTCCCCCCTTAAAAAGTTATTAAACCAAATACAAGTTAAAACAGCATACAAAAGAGGTAAATACCTCCGTATAAAATCAAAACACAAGAAAAAAAAAGTGCTGGCAAAACAAGTGTACACTATTTTAATATATCCACACAGGATACTTTTGTTAGTGAGACTTTCAGTTTGAAGACATTAGACCCCCAAGTCCACAGTGAATAAATCATGTACCTTGCTTACAAATCTCTGCAGATCATTTTGAACACAGTGCTGCCAGCCACCTGCAATTTAATTTTAAAACAATTTTTCTCCAATTCTAAAAGGTAGCAGGTTTCTATATAATTGTACTCTAAGGGAACTTTCAATATTATGCTTTTGAAGCAGTATTTTAAAAGAATTCATAATACACAATATTTAGACAATGAATAAAATGGCATAAAACATTGTAATGTAAAGTAGTTGTAGGACATTCTGTCTCATGTGTAATAATATTTAAAGATGGGAGATGGGACTGGTAACAGGATATTAAAATGTTTGTGTATTATGTTGTAATTAATTTTGTGTTGAAACTGCTACTGGAAACAGCTTAAAACTTACTATCGGTTCATGAATTTTCCCCAAACTATATTATTCATGCCAATCTATAGTCAGTCATAATTATGTAATATTTGTATACTAGCTCTCAACCAAGGGCTAGTGTGGCACAGTGGTTTGAGCATTGGACTGTGACTCTGAAAAGCAGGGTTCAAGTCCCTGCTCAGCCATGAAAACACACTGGGTGACCTTGGGCAAGTCACTCAGTCTCAGTCCCAGAAAACCCCATGCTAGAGTTACCATAAATCAGAAACGACAACAACAAGCAGCCTAATCTCTGAGTTTAAAGTAAATATGTAAATCGATGAGATTAGAATGAAGGAAACAGTTCATTTAATAGATTTTCATATGCAGATTTTTTTTTAAACAATGGCTTGGACCCAGGCTCTTTCTCCAACAAACAGAAGGGCTCTTCCTGTCTGTGGAAGATTCCTGGTCCAGTGCAGCATTTCAAATGCTGAATGTAGGAAGTGGTAATTTCCCCCAACTTCCATCTCCTGCCAGAACAGCCAGAGCATGCTGAAGGGAACTTGCTGTATCCAGGCTAGTGAATATTTCTTTTGTTTTAATTTTCATGTCTTAATTGCATAGCTGAGCAATTAAAATTAATTGCTTACATGTTACTATGAAAACCATATAAAAACAGTTGAACAAAGTGCTGAGATATGTAGACCTGGTAGGAAGCTGGGAAGCTGCCTTATACTATGTCAGGCCTTTGGTCTATTTAGTTGAGTATTGGTGACACTGGCTAACAGTTTCAGGAGAATAATTTCCCAGCCCTACCTGGAGATGCCAATGACTGATGCTGGGACCATCTACCCCCAAAGTGTATGCTCTGTGCCTAAACCATGTGTGCACAGAGCATACACTTTGGGGGTAGATGGTCCCAGCATCAGTTTTTTTGCTTGTTTTTTTGTAAGCAGTTTGTTTATTATTCATGGTATGCACACATAACCACACTTAAAATGATAACACTCTTGGTTTCTTTACAGTGCATTATACAATTATTAGAGGCAAATGATGTATTTAATATGTATCAGTTGAAAAGAAATTCAAATTCTGATATTTTGACAGATGACAAATGACTAACATATTAAGCATTTGACCAAGAGCATCTCTGCTTCTTTTCTACACTTCTAATTTTTTTATTTGTTATGAAATAATTTATTGCTGTCCTCCTCCTCTTTATTTATATCTCATCTTTTCCATAAAACTGTAGTAGAACAGTTTGAGACAGAGCTGACTTCAAGGGTGATGACTGAGGTAGATAATCTTCCTTTTATCCTTGCACAAAACTAGATGAAGTATTAGATCATTGCTCATGAAAGGTGTTTCTTTCCAGGGATTTCCCCCCTCCCCCCTTAGCATAAGAATAGTTTAACAGGGACCCAAACTCTTACTGTACAAATTTGAAAGGCCGGAGGGGCTGTTGTAGAGAGGTTGGTGGGAAGGAAACCTGGTTTCACCAGTTCAGCTTCGTATGTCAAAATCTATATCCAACACTTATAATTTAGAAGTTAAAAAATATTTATTTTGTTGCATTAATGTCACCCAAAGAGTGCTCACTAATGCACATCCTTGATGGAAATGACTAGTGGGGTGCTGCAGGGTTCTGTCCTGGGCCCAGTGCTATTCAGTATCTTTATCAATGACTTGGATGAAGGAATAGAAGACGTGCTTATCAGATTTGCAGATGACACCAAATTGGGAGTAGTTAATACTCCAGAGCAGGGGTAGGCAACCTTTCCCCTTTAAGGGCTGAGGGACTTCAGCTCCCAGAATCCCAGGAGCTATTGGCCAACATGGGACTATTGGCCAACGTGGCTGAGGTTTCTGGGAGCTGAAGTCCCTCGGCCCTTAAAGGGGAAAGGTTGCCTACCCCTGCTCCAGAGGACAGGATCAGAATTCAAAATGACCTTAACAGTATAGAGAGCTGTGCCAAAACTTTCAGCAGGGAGAAATGTAAGGTACTGCACTTAGTCAGAAAAAATGAAATGCATAGATATAGGATGGGGGATGCCAGGCTTAACAAGACTACATGTGAAAAGTGTTGGGGTATGCAAACAGTGGGGATCTAGTAGATTATGTAGGCAGGAACGTCTAGAAGCTGGTCTTCTGTGAAGAGTCTGTTCCAGACGGCACAGAAAAAAAAAACCTCCCACACGCAGCTGCTACTTTAAGCTTGAAGAAAAGAATAGCTTCACAGCAAGGCTTCTTTCAGAGAGGGCTTTAATCTTTGTTGCAAATATTTACAAAGATATACAGAGTACCAGACATCCGTCTTGAATACTCACAGCTATACAGAGTAACAAAGTGCTTTGCCAACCACCAACCACAACTAACCAACAATGGAGATTCTGACTCTATCCAATATATAAGTGGTCCTCTTGAGAACATGTGACAGCCATGCACTAATGAAACTTTGCTGGTTTCATTCCCAGTGCCTGTTGCATCAGGACTGTTGCATCAGACTTCCGATGATGCATACCTGGCTTGTCCCATCCACTGTGCATGTTGCATCAGGATTCCCATGATGCACCTGCCACTTGAACTGTAGTAGCCCTGTTACTATTGCTCTAGTTCTTCTCAGTGGCCACATCCATGTCATTTTCCAGACAAGGGTGCCACATGGTCTTGACAAAAAGGATCCAAGAGTCCTATTTGACCACAAATTGAACATGTGTGTGATGCAGCAGGTAAAAAAGCCAAAGCAATTCTAGGCTACATCAATAGAAATATAGCGTTTAGGCCGAGGGAAGTAATAGTACCACTTTATTCTGCTTCGGTGAGGTCGTACCTGGAATACTGTGTCCATTTTTGGGCTCCACAATTTGAAAAGGATGTTGACAAGCTGCAGCATGTCCAGAAGAGGACAACCAAAATGGTGAAAGGTCTGGAAACCATGCCCTGTGAGGAGTGACTTAGGGAGAAATGCTGATGACACCATAATACTAACAGAAAACCTCACAGACCTGGAACAACTACTAAGGAAGATCAATGAACAAAGTGCAAAGGCAGGTGTGCTGTTGAACATAAAGAAAACAAAAATAATGACAACAAAGAACCTACACACATTCAAACTAGACAGTGAGGAAATAGAAATAGTAAAAGAGT